TAGATATACTCCTAAGTATTTTATTCTTTTTGTTGCAATGGTGAATGGTATTGTTTCCTTAATTTCTCTTTCTGTTTTCTCATTGTTAGTGTATAGGAATGCAAGAGATTTCTGTGTGTTAATTTTATATCCTGCAACTTTACTGTATTCGTTGATTAGCTCTAGTAATTTTCTGGTAGAGTCTTTAGGGTTTTCTATGTAGAGGATCACGTAATCTGCAAACAGAGAGAGTTTCACTTCTTCTTTTCCTATCTGGATTCCTAAAGGCTGGTATTTTTATAAGATTGACTTCACCTCTCCTTATTCCAATATGGATTTAATGATCCAAGGAGAAAATTAACCCAGTGGGCACTAACATTTATTTCCCATATCCTCCTCCCTCCTCTACTTGATCCCCTCCAGAGGTCTCTCTCCGTCATCGCAGCCAGAGTAAGTTTCCTACCACACAGACTCAGTCATGTCACTTCATTGTGTGAAGTCTTTTGTTAGCTCCTGTGGACTTCAGAACAAGGTCCAACCTCCTTAGTGGAGCTCAGAGGCTGTTCAAGGACTTCATTTCTCTCCACCTCCTCTCCCACCACCCATATTCTAACCAGTTCTAATTACTTCCAATGTCCAAGTGTGCCGTGCTCCTTCATACTTTTTATTTGCTCGGTATGCTCTGCACAGGGCGCCCTCCGAGATTGAAGATTCAGCTTGGGCCTCAGTGCCTGGGGAACCTCTCCTGCCCACTGGTTCCCACCAGACGCCCTCATCCGGGCTACTTGCCTTGTGTGCGCGGCGCCTGCAATCCTTCCGCCCCCTTGTTATCTGTTTTCCAGGTACCTAGTACAGAGAAGATGCTCAATAAGTATTTGCCCGACAGGTTAATGATTAAGCATTTGAATGAGTGAGCAAATTTGGTGTATTGTGGAAGTATAAGTGACTGTAACTAGCCACTTAAGGGCTGGAGTTGGAGCCAGGCAGAACTCTTTTTTTCCAGTGATGACAGATGTCAGAGGGGCCAAAAAATTAGGGTTTGTGTGTGTGTGTGTGTGTGTGTGTGTGTGCAGAAATTACCTGTATGTAACTTTCTGAATAAGATTTCACTTTTGTTGCCTTTTTTTTTTCCCAAAAAATGCAGAAGTAGAATATAGTTTTTTGATGAAGAACAGCAGCTTAGGGCTCAATGTTGAGATAAAGATGTATGTGTATATATATACTTATAGATGTATATGTGAATATACATATACATACACACATATATATTTATGTGTGTATATATGATCAAGTGCCCATAAACATATGCACATATGTGTGCCTATATACACATATGTGTGTGTGTATGCATATGTGTTGGAGAAGGAAATGGCAAGCCACTGCAGTATTCTGGCCTGGAAAATTCCATGGACAGAGGAGCCTGGTGGACTAAGGTCCATGGGGTCGCAAAGAGTCGGCTGCGACTGCAAACATAAATATGTGTGCATACATGGATGGGTGTGTGTTTGTCTATCAGAGGCTGGGGCAGATCCAATATTCAATAAGCATCCTAGGAATGCTTCCTCAAAGGAAGCTCTCTCTCCATCCCACCTGCTTGTTCTCACCTAAAGGATGATTATAATGCCTCCCCCCAAATCAGCATTCTCTCCCTGCTCCATGGAGCCTGTTTGTAGAAATGTCACAGACACCCTCAGGGTTCTGATCACAATTCATCTGCTGCACTGAGAAACCTGAGTCCATCTGATTCCTCTTTGTGTACATTCAACAAACATGTCCCATGTGCCTAGCATATGGCTGTATGAAAACTTTTATTCGTAATGAATGGTTGTAAGTCACTCAGTGATCATGTATGTCTCAATAACTCTTCCTTGCCCCTCTCGGCACACTTTCCAGTGTCCATCCCAACCACAACGTATACTACTTTGCTGGCGAATCCTTTCAGTGGATCATGGGCAATGTATCACACAGGACTCTCCCTACATGGGTTTCTTAACATCAGATGCCAAGATTCACTCCCATAAACCATGAAGGCTCACTGCCTTGAGAGAGCCACTTTCCGCAGCAAGCTTTGGGACTAGAGTACAGGGCCAGCTGCCAGGGCTGCTTTCAAAGCGTCGTAGGTTGCTTGGGTCAGATCCATGCTGGGAGGGGAAATCTAATAAAGTGTTTTTGTCTTGTCTTCTAGCTTATATTTTACTATGGTACTACAGACGGTTGGTGTCCAAAAGAGTACTATGACAACATAAAGAAAGATTTTCCAGAAGCAGATATTCGACTCTGTGAGAAAAAAATACCTCATGCGTTTATCCTCAATTTTTTCCGGGAAGTGGCCGACATGGTAGCTGACTGGCTAAAGGATGATCTGTCCAAAATGTAAATACTGACACAAGGTGCAAACACCGATAGCTAGTATGTAGAGGTGGTAGGTATACTGCCTCTTAGTAGTAAGTAGTATACTTAATGGGTAAATGTCTAATCTTAATATTTGATGTTAGAAGAGGAAAAAAAGTGAGACCCTCTTGGCTTAAAAAACTCAGTTCCCAGCTCCCCGTGCTACAGACTGCAACAAACACAGCTGACCAATATTCCCTAGAATTAACAACACATTCCCAAGACTCAGGGAACACACTGATCTAAACAAAGTCTTTCATGTGTGCACGAAATGCCCGATGGTACCATCAGCTTAATTTTGATAGGCAAGATCATTGCACAAAAGGAAATCTAAATTTTTTATTTTAATTTACAATGTAGAATAGCACCTCCCCACCCCCCGACCGCAGAGAAAATTGTGAAAGAACTACGAGAAAATGTAAAGGACCAGTGAATGTCAAGTGCATAGTCAGACATGTGAAGCATATGAAATTATGAGAAGACACTCATCCAGGAAGTGACAAGCAGTGGAGCTTGGCAGTGGACCCGGGTCTCTTTTAAGGACAGAAGCTGAAGGTCAGCCCAACTAACTTTGCACAGATCTTGGCTGAAATCACCAAAATCAGACTGGATAGCAGGACAGCCTGCACACCCTGCCTCTTACTACCTTGCAGCTTGTCTCAGACCACCAAGTCAGCCTTCTGTCTGGCTGCTGGTGCACAAGCCCAGCGGAGCCCGTGGCAGGGGACGCACTGTCTGTCTCCTCCCCTGAGGCGAGTGACTTCCTGACGTGCCACAGTAATGAGCGAATAAAGCTCGTCAGACGTTCCTCTGGTAACTAAGACTAATAAGCGTTACTGAAGGATCCCAGCTGTACCTTCCTCCACAGCCAACCAGTAAGTCCTGGATGGGCGCTCCCTGCAGGTTTCCGTTCTCCAGAGCCAGCATGGGGTGACACTGAGCTGCCCCCATGAACCTCTTGCCTGCCACAGGCAACTGCCCATTCTGTGATTTTTTCAATCAAACTCCACTGCAGACCAGCAATGAGCCAAGTGCTATAAAGACCTTGAAGATAGACTGTTAGCTACATTAATGATTCTTTTCTTCTGAAAATCTTCCAGGAAGTAAATTTTGAAAGGGCATCTTTAAATTGCTGAATAGAGGATCATCATAAATGAGTTCTCCAGTTAGTTGGAAAGAAATTGTTTTACTAATGAGCCAAAAAAAAAAAACCCATTAAATTATGTGAATTCACCCTCTCCGGACACCTTGAGTTCCAATAAAGAAGCTTGTTCTCTAATCTAGAGCTTGCTAACAGTATTGCTTCCTTCCCTAAATTGATTCAATCCTGGGACCTTAGGATTTACTTAGCCAGTAAATCCCACTGACTGCGGAGATGGTTAATGATAGATAGAAACATTCCATTTTTTCTCCTGGAGGAAATCCCTCATGGTGTTATTTCGTAAGGACAAGGGGATGTTGTCCTTCTTCTCAAAACCTAAAGCCCTCTGATGAAAGATTCAGCTCTGATATGCTGCCAACCCAGTGGTGAATGTCGAATGAGATATGATCCTTTGGCCTGGCTTCCACATCAGAGCAAATGACGTCTCAGAGGGGAGGAGCCAAGCTCCAGGCAAACAGTGCTCTCAGCCCCAGAAAGGGGCCAGTAGATGTATAAGCCATTGGCAGAAGGCTGCATACATAAAGTCCTTTTTGGCAGCTGTGTGGAGAGGCCTTCTAGAAATCTAATGTTAGGAGCTGGGTCTCAGGACTCTGAAGTACCTTGCATACAGGAGATGCTCTATAAGATACTGAAGCACTTAAGCAAGTACTAGGTAAATCATGCTACTAGAATCAAGAATAACACACCCAGTGTTTCTGTTAGCCTTATTTTACAATGTTACTTCATGTTTCAGAAATCCACATGTATGAAATTATACCTGATAAACCAAAGTTTACCAGAGCTTAAAAAATAATAAGTAAAATGATAAAGTAAAAGATACTGGCTTGTAATTCCTGTTAATCATCTAAGCACCAAATGAATTTTCAAAATAAATATTTTACCCACACTTTATGATCTTGCCTGGCCTGACCTCTGTGTGTTGGGGAGGAGGGGTACAGGCTTCACGTTCTCCTGAGGTAGACTCAGGTCATAGCCTCTCAATTAAGGGCTTCCCAGGTGGCACTAGTGGTAAAGAAGCCATCTGCCAATGCAGGAGACTTAAAGAGATGGGGGGTTCAGTTTCTGGAAAGATTCCCTGGAAGAGGAAAAGGCAGTCCACTCCAGTATTCTTGCCTGGTGAATCCTGTGGACAGAGGAGCCTGCTGGGCTATAGTCCATGGGTCGCAAAGAGTCAGACACGACTAAAGTGACTTAGCACACATGCACACTCTCGGTTAAATTGAAAGCCACTTTTTCAGTGCTGCTTTTAGAGAGGGAAGAATCAGATTTTGGAAGATTGAAGCTCATTTCGTTTCATTAAGAATTAAACAAAAGTGTTCATGCATGTATATGAGGTGATAAGGTATGTGAACTCTGGAGGCCTTACCATCTGTGTGATTTTGGACAGCTTCATCTAATTTCTCCATGCCTCAGTGTCCTCATTCATAAGATAGGATTAATAATAATACATACCTCATATTGTTGGAAGAATGGGATGATTAAATGAAAGTATTTAGCACAGTGCCTGACAAAGAGTATCTTCTCAATAAAGATCGGCTGTATTACTGATTATTAAATATCATCATAACATAAAATAAACAAAAGACTAAAGTTGGTAGGCAATGGATTTCATCCATTTTCCAGAAGCATTGCTGCCTGTGTATGCCAGTCAGTCACTGGGATGGTCCTTGTTAAAAGGTTTAATAATCTGCTCTGGGGTTATCTAGTGCTGAGTAAAAGTCCTACACTGGAAATCATGACTGGTTGTCCCCAGTATGCTCTGGACCACGAGGGAGAAGCTCCAGAGGCTGCCCCTCTGGCTTTTTGTGGCCGGACATTCAAGGCAACAGCCCACTTACCATAGGCCTCTCCACTCAACCCTTGAAGAGCCAGTGACCTCCAAAGGCTTGATTTTTCTTTATCCTACCTTATATGAAAATTAGGTTTAATTCCAGACTTGAGGGAACACAACAACTTAATGTAATACCTGATTCTGGATTAGATGTTATATAAAAAAAAAAACAAAAAAACAGTGTTGGGACAGTTTGCAGAACTTCATTGCATGGGATCTAAAGTTTTTAAATGGGAATAAGAGATCAATGGTAATTTTCTGATGTCAGCGGTTTTATTTTAAATAGGAGAACGTCCTTATTTGCAGTGAAGACACATTAAAATGTGTCGGAGCCATAGGACATTGTGTCAGTTTACACTCAAGTAGTTCAGAGGGAAAAAATGTTCTTTGTTCTTGGAACATTTCTGTATGTTTGAGCCGATTTTGAAATGTATACAAATAATGATTTGGGGGGCGCTGGGGGAAGCTCTCTCCTTCTGCATCTGTCTCTTATTGCTTCTTTTCCAGAAAGTGAATTACTTCTTCTAGGAAGTAAACGAAGACATAAAGACTGTGTTTCAAATCGTGGGTCTTTCATTTATTAGGTGTGTGATGTTCTGAGGCTTCACCTCCCCTCCCCCACTGTCCTCACCCTTGAAAGCACTTGCATTAGCTTTAGGAGCTTGGAAGGGTTTTGTTTGTCTTTAATGGGGTCAGGTGAGGTCTTGCATATAGTATTTAGCACCCTGTCTGGTAGATGTTCTATGAAATGGTACCCAAAGGGCGACTGCACACTTGTTTGTCTTGCACTCTCTTCCCTGTGGTTCTGTGCAGGACCCTGCAATTCCCCATTTCTGCGTCGTTTCACCCAGCCTGAGACCTTCTACCTGTCTCAGCGTTTCTGATTCATATTGATAAAGGAGGGGGCCACTCCCCCACCTGACACAGCTTTCTGACCCCAAGCCATACAGGCCTCCCACACACAGCCCCAAGCACCCAAACATCCCCTCAAGCAACTTACAAGTCCTTTAGAAAAGATGCAAGAGGCAAAATGTTCTTGTTTTTTTTCATTTTCTGGGGTATAGTTACTTTACAGTGCTGTGTTTCTGCTATACAAGGAAGTGAATCAGCTGCCTCTCCTCTCCCTCTTGGCTCACCACCCCCCTCATCCCCCCTCCAGGTCATCACAGAGCACAGAGCCCAGCTCCCTGCACCACACAGCGCTTCCCCCTAGCTAGCTGTCTTACACGCAGTAGGGTTTGTATATGTCAATCCCAATTCATCCCCCGCCCCCCACAACGTCTACATATCTGTTCTCTCTATCTGCGGCTCTATTCCTGCCCTGCAAATAGGTTCATCTGTACCATTTTTCTAGATTCCTTATGTATGCGTTAATATGACATTTATTTTTCTCTCATTGACTTACTTCACTCTGTATGACAAAGTGTTTCTTAAATGACAAGAGACATCATTTTGTTCCTGGCCTCCTCCTGCTGGAAAGAAGAGACATCCCCTGGGCTCTTCCCTCCCTTGGCGGGGTTGAGCTCAGGGAGTGGGCAGTGCCTGGGACCACGTGCGCTCTGTGAACAAATACACCTCTGAGGCCTTGAGGCTGGAGCCCCTCCTGCAGGAGTGCTGAGGACAGAAAAGATTTCCCTTTCCAAGGGGCTGAGGTTCCTGTCTGCCTGCTGGAGGTGCTGGTGAGCCATCACATTGGCCTAGGTGGGGAGCCGCCGCTGTGGGATATGGGCCTGTCCTCTTGCAGCAGACCGCAGGCCTCTCACGGGTGGAGCCACAGAGGGCTCCAGGTTGCCCCAACTCTGTAAAGAGAAACACCCTGTGGGGGACGGTGGGTGCTGTTCCTGGTGCCAGAAGGACAGGTGGAAAGGTGGAACTTAGGTGGGTTTGGAACATGCTCCTCGCCCTGCACTTAGAGCATCTCACGCAGGCCTCATGACCTCATGTGCCCATGCAGGTGCCAAGCAGGGGACTCGGTCAAGACCTCAGAGCTGTGCCCCAGGGCCACGTCCTCACCCCTTCCTCACCACAGCATCCTGCTGCCTCCTGGAGGAAAAGAGCAGGCAGGCAGCCTGGCAAGAGTGGAGGGTTGGGAAAGGGAGGCCCGCCTGGGAGGGCATTCGAGGGCCAGATTGTCAGCGGAAGTGAAGAGGAAATGGTTGGTAATGACTGGGTAGCGTTAAAAGTTTGGAAGGTGAGACAGGGAGGGGTTTGGGGTGGGATGTCTGAGGCACCAGGCAGTAGGGGGGCGCAGGGGGTCAGAGCTGAGGCTCAGTTCCACGTTCTGGTCTCTGCAGCTCGGTCCAGGGCCACCCAGTGCTCCAGAGACGCTCCCTTCTATCTGCTCCTCAGAAGTGCCCTGTGCCCTGAACCCCTGGGATCCACTGCTCCACCTTTGAGAGTGCCCAGGCCGCGACCCCACCCCCGGGAGGCTTGACCCCAAATACCAGCTGCTTCTGCCCCCCAGAGCCCTCTCTCCCTCGCTCCTTCCATCAGAGCCCCCTTGGCCCCCCTGGCCCCATCCCTCGTGAAGCACTTGCTGTTATTGCAGGAACTGAATTTTTATCCTCCCTGCCCCACTATTAACACTCCTTCCTGCCCCTGAAAGGAGAGTCCGAGGAGATGGGCCTTGTACCTAGTCACTCCCTATGCTCAGGGCTTATAGCGTAAGGCCTGTCACACAGACGAGTCAATAACTTGTTTTCTAAATTAATAAAAAGTTGTTGCCATACTTAATATGCAAGCTCTCAAGAAATAATAGTTCCCTCAGTCAGTCGGACTTGTCAGAGGATCACGTCGCTGGGACTCCTTCTCCCTCAGAACTGAGTGTGCAAATGGAACTGTGACAAGGACTTGTTTATCCCTTAAGCACTTCCCCAGCCTCACTGTGCACCGCTGAGTCAGATTCCAGGACACAGGCTGGCCACTCTCAGCAAGGCCACTGCATGCCGTGGCCCATTCTTCGGCCGTCCGGCTGCAACTGTTACTTCCATTCTTCTGTGATTAGAAAACCTCTGGACTTCGGGTATTAGCAACGACCAAATGTGTGGTTATTATTTGTTGCGAGCTAACCCCGTGCGGCACCCCAAGTGGGAATTACAAGCAACAATACACGAGTCCCGGCTCCGGGACAGCAGAGCGTTTTCATTTTGCATCGCATTCCTCAGACGCTCTGGCAGGGGGGCTGTGCTGACCTCCCCACGCTGCGACAGACTCCCTTGCTGGGTGAGTCTATGGGAAAATTCCTCTTCCCGGGATGGGAATGTGACCCTGTGACTGGGCGGCCAGGACAGCCAGGCGCGCGGGTGCACCTGCAGGGCCTCCCCCCCGCACCCACAGGGGGACCCCTCCCACCTCTGCAAGTCCACGCCGTGCGGGCTTCGCACCACAGCTGGGCTTCCTCCCGCTGGCCGCCGCTGCAGGGCCAAGCACCTGCATGTGATTAGGGCTCGGCAGACACCCCCAGCCTCACGGTCGGTGGCTGCACTCCGGTGACCGTCACAACGGACGAGCTTCTCCCCAGATCCCTGTTCCTTCTGAGCAGAAGAGAGCTTCCCTGGGATACAGGAGCATAAGGCATCCACAACCAGATCGGGCAGCTCCGCTCTGAGGGAGGCAGCAGGTGGTGGCATCTTGGCCTTGGCCTGCCTTGAGATGAGCAGGCTGTGGGCACACCAGGGCCGGGGGCCTGGGGGAGTAGAGAAGTCTGTCCTCACCTCCTTTTAGCAGCGGTCGTTGCAGGGCCTTTAGACCATCTCTCATCAGTGTTTGGGAAATACGATAAAATTTTAAATGTGGCTCCTGACTTTCCCTTCTCCCTGTAACCTAGCCCTTCTCAACTGAAAATGTACTCCTCTAACCACAGAATTCCAGGATAGGTTAAGTGGAGAGTGAAAAATACAAAAATGAAAACTGACTGAGGGTTGTTATCGAACTAATGTTAAGACTTTACCTTTTTCAATGGCAGAGTCATGAAGCCTATGCGTTTACAACAACCTGCCAAATGAGTTAGTTACAAGGTGAACATTTTTTCTGCCAAAGAAACTCCTTGGAACTTACCTAGT